CCTCTGCTGACCCGCCCCCGCGGCACCCGCGGCTCCACTGGCAGCGCCTGGCACCACGGGCGCTGCCGCCGCCCCCAGAAGCCCTGGCTGGGCGGACGGACGCCTGGGTTCCCCTCCTGCCGCGCTCTAGCTTGCGACCTTGGACGAGTCCTTGCTCTCTGGGGTCTGAGTTATCCCTGCAGTAAAATGAGGAGAGGGAACTCATAGATGGGTAAGGATCCGCGGGGTCTCATCTTTGAGGAGTAAGTCCAGGCCTAAGCCCACCTAGACCCCACCCCTGAAGCCTCCCTTGTGGTAGAGGGGGCAGTTACAGCCCTGAAAGGTATGGTGAGTCTCATCGGCTTGACAGAGGAGCTGGACTCCACATACAGCAGGCAAACAGGAGGCCAGGACACCCGAGCCCTAGGCTTTGTGGCCTTGAGTTGGCACGCTGCCCCCCAAACCTCAGTTTTCCCACCTGAGAAATGGGGATGGAAAAGTGTTGGGTTCAATGCACATTCATCATGCAGGATTTGTCCTGCATGAGAGGACTCCCTCCCAGGTACTGGTGGCCCCAGTGCTGCTCCCTGGTCCTTAGGAGCCTCAGATCATCACATCTGCCCCTGGGTCAGGGCCTAGCCCCCAAGGTAGACAATCAGTGGGTAGGACATAGGCAGCTGCAAAGCTAGGTGGGTTTTGTTTTGTTTCGTGATTTTTTTTCCCCAAAGAGCAACACATAGACAATTTGGTTCAATATCCCTACCCATTTAAAGATGGGGTAACAGAAATGATAGATAGAGGAAAGGACTGACCCAGAGTTTCATCCATTTATTTTTTACTTATTGGTCACAGATGTTTATTGTGTGCCTTCTATATGCAAGTACTGTGTTTGGCATTGTGAAGATAAAGGTAGAAGTGGAGAATGACAAACCACTGTACTGAGAGGAAGCCTAGAATCTGGCCTCCAGCCTCCTCCCCAAGCCGGATCAGGACTCTGTTCCCTTTATCTCTCTAAGAGACACAAGTTGAACTGACTCTTAAAGGATTTATCTAGGTTTTAGATAAGTGGATATGGAGGGGAAGGGCACTTCAGGAGGAGGGAACTTCTGGGCAAAGGCACTGTGATTGGACCACATGGATTGAGTCTGAAGAACAGGTAGGTCACCTGGTGTAATTGGACACTGGGTAGCTAACTAGAGGCAGGTTGCAGAGGACCTGCTCTGTAGAAAGTGGCTGGAGGTCTGTGAGAAGGGAGGCCCCCAAAGACTGTCTTCGGGGAAGGTGGGAATGAGAGAAAGGAGCCCCTGAGATTACGAATGAGGCTTGGGGGTCTCACTTTGAGATGACTGCAGGGCTGGCAATGACTCAGGAGTTTCAACAGCAGCTTCAGGAGAAGAATCAGCACACCTCCACCCACAAATCACCTGGACTACAAGAGAGTTAAAGGGCCGAGACTGGTGCAGGATCCTATCCCAACTATTACCACTCAGTTTCTGGGACTTCAGATCTGAACCTCAGGTTTTCAGTATGTGGCGTGTGTGTGCGTGTGCGTGTGCGTGTGTTCGCGCGCGCGCGCTCGTATCGAGCTCAGCAGCAGGTCCCAGGGTCTGCAGAATGGCAGCAGTGGCGGTAGGGCATTTCAGCACCAAGACAACGGACAGCACCCGAGCCGAATAGAGGGGTGGGAGGCGGGAGGAGGAGTCAGCATCCAGGAACTCGCTTAGCCGCGCTGTGACTGCTCGGCCCGGCCGCCTACCAACACCCGCCCGGATTACCCGAGCTCTGCGCCAGGACTGGGAGAAATATGGAGGGCAGAGAAGGAAAGCTAGCATTAAGAGAGAGGAACAAGAGCCCAGAGGGACAGGGCTTGGTCACAATGGGGCCCCACCACCCCCATTCCCTCCTGGAGTAAGTCCTGCGAGTGACGCTTCCTTCCCGGATTCCAGCCGCCGCCTGTCTCCGCCAGGTCTCTGCCTGCTGTAGTCGTGGCACGGCGAGCGTCAATTGCCCCCACTGCGCAGGCGCGGAAATAATTCTCAACACCCTCCTACCTTAACCCATCTATTGGCTACTCCGGCCGCGAACTAACAACCATTATCCAATCCGAGAGTGCCTCAAATTGCTCCGCCTATTCCGCTGCCCGGAAGTTGACTATTACCGAATCCGCTTCGGCGAGGGCGCGCCAGTAGCCAATTGGGAGAGGGGAGTAGGGAAGCCTGTGCCTCTGAGGAGCCAATGGCAGGCGGTAGAGGATGACGCTACCGACATGGCTGCTGTGGTCCGACAATTCGGGGACGTGTCGGGCTGTTCGGTAACCTCGGTCGGTGCTTAGGAAGCGGAGCAGCTGCCTCACTAGTATTCGTACCCACAAGGCGGCGCAGCGGGCCCTCGGAGACAGCGAGCGTCGGGGCCATGGCTTATCACTCGGGCTACGGAGCCCACGGTGCGTGAGGCGCGGGGTGGGCAGGGCGCGGACCGACCCGCCGAAGGAGGGTCGGCGGCGCGGCCCGCTCACCCCAAGGGAGAGGGGCGACCGCGAGCACTGCCCAAGGCGGCAGATGTCTTTCGGGTTCCTGCCGGGTGAGACTCGGCAACGCGTCCCGGGCTTTGCCCTCTCGGCCCAAATGAGATCAGATCGGGCGGTGACAGCAGTGCTGGGATCCCCGTGCCCGACTCGGGCATGGATGGGGCCTGCCTCCCAAACTTCCTTCCCTGTCATGACTCTGGTAGGATTCTTGACCGCTGCCCAGGGCCTCCGAGTACCCAGCCGTCGCCTTTCCCACATCGTTCATGTGAGGATGCCCTCCCTTCTCTCTTCCACCTAGCAAACTTCTACTCAAGTCTCCAAGGCTCAGTTCAGAGATCATTTCCCTTGAGGAGGCCCCCAGGAACCCTCAGGCGAGGATCACTTCCAGGAGCAGCTGCCTCAGCTCTTTCTTTGCCCACATTTAGCACCACTCCAAAAGGATCCCTCATTAAAGTTCTTCTGGGTTAGCTACCCAGCCCCCCATCCAAGCTAGTTTCCCTCTCTGATTGCTTGGTGCTCCCAGGACCCATACAGGGCTGCCCAGCTTGGGGAAGGGATGGTGGCTTGGACTCATGCTTGATATTTCTGTCACCTACTCTGGTACCTACAAACCCACAGGCTCCAAGCACAGGGTCCGGGCAGCTCCGGATCCCCCTCCCCTCTTCGATGACACAAGCGGTGGTTACTCCAGCCAGCCAGGGGGATACCCAGCCCCAGGAGCTGAAGTGGCCTTCAATGTCAACCACTTGCTTGGGGACCCAGTGGCCAACGTGGCTATGGCCTATGGCAGCTCCATCGCATCCCATGGGAAGGACATGGTGCACAAGGAGGTGTGGCCCACCCCCGGGGCAAGGGTGGCAGGATTTCTGGCCAGGGCTGGGGCATCACGGGATCCCACCTAATCATCACAGCAGCTCTCAGGGAAAGAGCACACAGGAGGAGCACCTTGAGGTTTGGGGTGCAGCTTGCCCACAACCTCTTCTCTCCCCTCACAGCTACACCGTTTTGTGTCTGTGAACAAACTGAAGTATTTTTTCGCTGTGGACACAGCCTATGTGGCCAAGAAGCTAGGGCTGCTGGTCTTCCCCTACACACACCAGGTGAGCCACCTACCAGGTGAGCTGGTGGGCCCCCTTGCCTCCCTCATCCTGCCCCACAGTCTGACTGCCAGATCTCAACCCCCTTCTTTCCTCTCTTCTGGTCTTTTCCTCCTAACCTGGCTGCTGCTGCTACCACCAGAACTGGGAAGTGCAGTACAGTTGTGATGTGCCTCTGCCCCCACGGCAAGACCTCAATGCCCCTGACCTCTATATTCCCAGTGAGTCTTTGACCTGGGTTGGGGGGTGTGGAGGGACATGTGCCTTGAGGCACCAGTGAGAAGAGAGAGTCTCACACATTTATTCAGCATCTGCTCTTTGTGCTTTTGTGTGTGGCTTTGGTAGTGTCACTAGACACCAGGCAGACCAGGTAGACAGAGTAGGGTGATCAGTAAGCAGCTTCCTGGCTGTGCCTTCAGTGCCCTCAGGGTCCTCCCTTTTGAGACCTTCCTGCCATTTAGACTTAGACCTTGTCCTTCCCCAGCCTGAAGCCCTGGGTTTAGACCTGGCCTTTCACCTTCCAGCTATGGGACCTCAGGTGGCTACTTTCATGCTTTTGAAAAACCAGAATAACAACAAGTCCTACCACAAAGGATCGTTGTGGAAACTCAGTGAGGTGATGTGTGCTCAGCACAGCACCTGGCACCCAGGAAGCCTGCAGTAAATATTAGCTATTACCATTGTTATGACTTGTCCCCCAAGGACTGCTCCAATGTCCCCTCCTCTGAGGAAGTGGTTACTCCCTTCTGGGTTCCCACAACTGCCTGTTCACATGGCCTGGGTCAGGCTGCCCACCCTGTGCGGTGGCTGGCAGACTCTGCATCTGACTCCTCTGAGTCCTGGGGCCTGCACAAGGCGTGGCCCATGGGGGACACGCTGGATTAGGAGTGAGTGTGCCCAGACCAGCCCTCAGAAGGGTTTCCAGGAGGGCAGCCGGTGGTAGTGAGGGCAGCCAGCCAGCCCACGTGCCCTGGGAGGGACACAAGTTCTTCTTCCTTCCATTCTGTGTCCCTGTCATAGTCACCACATAAGGCAGGAACTGCCATCCCCAGCTTTGACATTGTTGAAGCCAAAGCTCAGATTTGTGTATCTTTGAGGACACACACTCACACACACAACTTATAGGTGGTAGAGCTGGTTTCCTGACTGCCCTCTTGTGGGCACGTCAGTTCTGGTGCTTTCAGGGAGCAGAGGACAGGACTGATGAGTTGAAATTGCTATGAAAGCCCAGTTCTCATCTCAGGTTTTGTGAAAATAGCAGACATAAATGTGGAGCTCTGCATTGGCAGTGTGCCCAGAACTGTAGCCAGTGCCAATGGCCAGGCTTAAAATTCCTGGCTGAGGTGAGGTCATCCCCATGGCCTGGACTCAGGGACAGCACGGGTTGTCTGCTGAGCCTGCATTTCAGTCCTGTAGTCTTGCCTGAGATCACTTTGGCCCCTACCTGTTGGTCTTCGATGAGCAATGACCTTGGCCTGTGATACAATTTCTGAGATACAAAAGGAAACTGGTGAGTTTCCTAGTACAGGGACAGGGAAGGAGGTGGTTTGGTGGTCCTGAGAGAAGGACCAGGTGGCATTTACACAGGAGGAGAGGGCTGAGCTGGGAGAGGCATCCCAGGCAGGGCTGAGTGTGGAGGTTGGGCATGTTGGGATCCACAGGGAAGGAAGTATGGGGGGGAAGTTGGAGGTGTCAGTGGCTCTGAATACCTGGGGTTGGAGGCTCTGGTTGAGGAAACTAGGCTGATGGCATCTCTCTGGTTCTTGGCAGCAATGGCCTTCATCACCTATGTGCTGCTGGCTGGGATGGCACTGGGCATTCAGAAAAGGTTAGTGCCAGCCCCTTCCCCATTCCCACCACTTCCTCACTCCTGACTCCTCACCTCCCTAGGGGATCTGTGCCAGCTCCCAAGTCCACCCCATGCCCCCAGCCTCACACCTGCCACAGGATGCCTGGTTTTAAACTCACCTCACCCCACCCCTACGTGGTCACAGGTTCTCCCCAGAGGTGCTGGGCCTGTGTGCAAGCACAGCGCTGGTGTGGGTCGTGTTGGAGGTACTAGCGCTGCTCCTGGGCATCTACCTGGCCACCGTGCGCAGTGACCTGAGCACCTTCCACCTGCTGGCCTACAGCGGCTACAAATATGTGGGGTGAGCACCTGTGGGCCAAGCGGGAGGCTGATCTGGGTGGGGGGTGCCTGCCACCCTGGGTTGCTGGCCTGCATAGCTGTAGCCTCGAATTGTGACCATGGACACCCTCTGATCCCCTCTGGGCCTCCAGCTCTTCTCCAGTATAGGGCCCATCTGTTTTCAGCACACTCCCCAGGAACTGTGTAGTGCTGTGCAAGGTCAGGGATGTTTATTGAGAGTCACCCTGGGAGCACAGGGGAGAGGGGCCTTGAGCTGGGGTAGTGAAGGAGGTCTCAGATCCAGGTCCTTGGGCTGAGTCCTGCCCTTCCAGATTCATTTTGAGTCTATGTCCCTATAGGGGCAGATTGGGAGTAAAGGGCCCTGGTGATGGTAGGTGGGGTCTAGGCTAGGCCCTAGGGCCTGACAGGTGGTGTCAGTCTCAGGCCTGGACCCTTGAGAGGTCTCCAACTTTCTCTTCCTCCCTCCCCCACCCCACCCCCTGCAGGATGATCCTCAGTGTTCTGACCGGCCTGCTCTTTGGCAGTGATGGCTACTACGTGGCACTGGCCTGGACTTCGTCTGCGCTCATGTACTTCATCGTGAGTCTGGGGTCGGCCCCTCTTCCCCTGGGGTTGGAGCTGGGGACAAGTCCCCCTGTCCTGAGCCAGCTTCAGCTCTCTCCTGTCTTCCAGGTTCGCTCTTTCCGAACAGCAGCCCTGGGCCCTGACAGCATGGGTGGCCCGGCTCCCCGGCAACGTCTCCAGCTCTACCTGACTCTGGGAGCTGCAGCCTTCCAGCCCCTCATCATATACTGGTTGACCTTCCACCTGATCCGGTGACCCCGGGTCCCCACCAGCACTGATTTTTCCATACATTGAAGATTTGATTTCCTTGATTTCATTTGACCCTTGTTTCTGGGGCTTGAGAGGGGAATTGCTACCACCTCTGGACTTTTGCATTGCCCAGGGGACCAGACTTGGGCTTTCTCGGAGCAGTGGGACCCAGGGAGGGCTTTCTGGATGAACTTGATACTGCCTTGGAAGGCAGATGGAAGTATTTCAGCAGAAATAGCTGTTTACCTGTGCCAGGAAAGTGAGGATGGAAAGGGGCAGCTGCTAAGGAGACCCCGAAGGCCTCTGATTCATCTGAGGGGGTCTGTGGACTAGTGGGATGAGCCTAGCTGTGCAGAGGATTTAGCCCAGGGCTGCTCCCTATATCGTTCCTTTGCCCCCATCTCCTCTTTAAGCCTTTCAGGAGTAGAACCGGGGCCCACATGTTTGCAGGAGTTTATTCATATTTTGTCACAAATGGCCAGGGAAGGGGTGCCGGACTCCTCCAGGCAACATAGAAAACAGGTCCAAGAGAGACAGGGTAGGCTGGGGTTGGGGCAAGTGGGGATAGGGAGGGGTCTGGAGAGAGCCTGGGGGAGGGGAGAGGGCAGACTAGGGGTGGGGCTGCCCCCCTGCTGAGCCTGCTCATTCCCGGTGTGGGTACCCCCCCACCTGCAGGGGGAGCCTCAGGGTGGGGGGTGGAGGGGAGCGGCCCAGAACTTACAGGGTCAAGCCCTACCCCTTGGCAGGGCCTAAGTTCCCCCTGAAGTGGACAAGGCCGGAGGTCCCGCCCCTTCCAGGACTGACTGCCATGCCCACAGGCTGGCAGAG